GGCTCCGCGCCCCATCCCTCCCCGCAAAACGAAACCAATCCAAGTTAAAATTATTTACACTTTGAGCCATTTAAAAACCCAATAAAATAAAGACGGCGTATGTCCTACTGGGGACGTGGGGCATTAGCAGCCGCTACAGCTAGCTCGGTACTCCGCGTGCAAAACGAAAGACAAACAGCAGACAGACCGAAATACTGCACCATCACTAGGAAGCGTTTGCCGGGGTTGGCGTTTCGATCGTGGCGTGAGGCTTCTAGGCCCCGGCCCCTCCCCAGCCGCCCGCTCAGGGGCGTCTCGGCGAAGGCCGGGCTCTAGAAGGGTGGAGAGGATTCGTTATTCCAGACACAGCACATTAACACTGACGCGTTTCCATCCCAGTCGACACAGACAGCTAAAAACCCACTGCACGTTCACCGCCCGAGTCCTTCCTTCTTTCCAGCGATGATGGAGGAAAAGGGGGTGCACGAAGAAGACCTAAGACATGGATGCTGCTGTCATCACTGCCTCCTCCTCATCTCCTGGCTTTGGCAGCTCAGCAAGCGCGGGAGAGGGGGGAGCCGGAGCGGCAGGGGGGGCTTGTTCCTCCTGCTCCTCTCCAAGCCCCAGCTCTACATCCATTTGCTCCAGCTCCCCCTGATCCAGCAGCTCAAAGTCATCTGCTTCCTCCTCATCCTCCGGTGAAGCTGCTGCCTCTGCCTCCACCGCTTCGGTCTCTGACAGCTGTGCTTGGAAGCTCAGTTTCTCTTCGGGCTCAGTGGGCAGGAACTCGGAGAGGGAGGGCCCCTCGCTGGCCTCGGAGGAGCGCAGCAGGGCGGAGAGGGTGTTCTGCACCGCCGTGGTAATGGCAGTGGTGACGATCTCCTCGCTCAGCGTGTCAATGCAGACGCCCAGGCCTGGGGCAGGGACAGTCTTTGGCTCTGCGTTGCCTCCTGCCGCTTGCCCACCCCCGTTGAAGTGCGTATTTACAAAATGGAGAGGAGACGCCAGGCGAAGGATGGAGAGCTCAGAGTCCGCGGCCTCCTTCTCTGCCGAGTCCAGCTCACGGGCAGCGTGGGCAAGCTCGGGACCCAGAGGCACACCAAACGTATCTTCATCGCTCTGTGGTCCCAGGTCTCTGGAATGATATTCTTCCACGGAGGGAAACTCTGCCAGGTCCTTGGAAAACGACTCCTCCGGCTCGCTGTGCAGGCTCTGCTGATCCAGGTCTGAAAGGCACCAGCATTAAGGCGCAGGCCCCCTCACCTCGACGCAGGGCACCGACACCTCCCACCACCCCCCCCCAGCTGACACCCCAGGGCTCACTTCTGGGCATCCTCCCAGCTCCGGGAGCATAGCAGGAAGGGGTCTGCACTCACGCCCTTCTCCCAGCAGCACGACTCACGCGGAATGTCCCTTTTCTCATTCTGTTCTATATGCTCTGTGCTCACATAGGACTTCCTTCTCCAGCTCACGCTCTCCGCATCCAGAGCCCTCAACTAAAACCCACAAGGTCAGGAAAATTGTGCTTACAGCACACCACCTGCCTGTGCCTCCCCAGACACTCCAGTGACCACATCCGAGGAGTCACCTTCACGTTCCTCACCGCTAACCAGTCCTTCTCCGAGCTTGTAAGTCTGACAGCCTGGGGTGCCCGACCTCTTTCACCCAGCATTGTATATTGGGCACGTGACTATACCATGCAATTATTTCTGCGGGGCTCTGTGGGTGGCCTTGCTCCCTTGCTGGAGCGACAAGAGAACACTGTCTCGTGGGGCAGTAATTGGAGGCAGAAGCCCATTCAGGCCTAGCTCGTCATCAGCCGCGCAGCTGGGGCATGCTGCGCTGCTCTTACCGCTTCCTCCTTTTAATGCTCCTTCCCCTGAAATAGCTAGGTTCTCTCCCGGTGTTTGGAGGGACTGTTTTTCTGGGACAAAACACTCAGGGACACGAAGGCAGTGAAGTGTCCCACCACGTACCTTCAGAAACATCCGTCAGCTGTGGGGTGGTAGCCCTTGAGACAGAAAAGCCCCCACTTTCCAGGATGGAAGCCTCCTCATCAGAGAGCTCAGAATCTGTGATTGACAGTGCCAGGGCAGTCTTTTTTACATCCACCTGCATGGGATGAAGGCAGAGGGACAAATTCCTGGGTGTCTGACTACCAGTGCTGCCTGCAGGCGCCTCCGCACAAACCAGAGCGTCCAGGCAGAAGGCCTTTGCTGGAGACGCTCTGCACAGGGGCAGGATGAAAGCAGGAGGGGGCTGGGCAAAGCGCTTGTGGCACTGCCAGGGAACGACAGTCGCAGCTCACTGACTTTCCTGCAACAATTCGCTGCCTGAAGCTTTGCCTGCCCCCAGCGAAGAAGCCAAAAGAGCCAGCATGAGATGGGGTCAGCCTGTACGAGTCTCAGAAGGCTTCGATCCTGCTTCCTCTCCTGGGATCATCAAGGAGCGAAACTACCCTGCATTCACGCTGGGCCCGATGAAGCCTTCTACAAGTAGCAGCAGTTCAAGTACCTACATTCCTTTGGAAGCTGAAGCTTCCCATCTCACAGCCCAGCTACACGGCCAGAGCTCCTGTAATGGAAGGCATGTGGTGCGTTTCTGCAGCGCACACAAAGAGAGGTCCCACCCAGTCTGAGTGACAGCAGGGAACTGTGTGAGAGACACCAGTGCTGCTCATCTCCCTTTTCCAGCGGCGAGGAGCCTCTGCACATTACACCAGGAGAGCTGATCTCTTTAGGCAGCACTCACATTCTTTGAGCATGAAGCGCAAGCATCAAAGCAATTCCGCAGGTCAGCGGGAGGCTGCAGCAGGGCTGCCCCGTCCTGCTACCGCATCACCAGCCCTGTGGCACTGAACTCTCAATACCCAGATTGGAGACAACGGCCTTCATCAAGCTAACGCCCTTCTCCCCTTGGGATTCTGCAGAGAAGTGACTTGCTGCTCTGCTGTTCATTATCAACGCAGCTGTACTCAGACCATCCCCTGGCTCTCAAGCTGCTTCAGATCAGAGAGGAGGGACTGGTTCCTGCGCAGCCCTCTGTGCTCTTACCACCGGGGAGAAGCCTGACAGCTCTGCCTCACTCTCACTCTCCGTCTCTGCTGTTGGCTCATCACCTGCTGCAGGCTCACTCTTCCCTTGTCGCTCTGAGAAAGAGAAGAAAGGCTTGACGTGAGACTGAAGGAATTTTATGCCTTTGTACATCACTTTACCAGTACTTCTACTACCCCGTGAAACTGCACAGGTTTCCCAGAAGCCCAGGGTTCCCAGAGACAACTGTAGTCTGTTGCTCTGTGCTACTCTCAGGATCGCCTCCCCAGTTGCTCTCCCCATAACTCTCAAGTTTCAGTCTGGTTTCCCATGCTCTGCTGCAGCCTTTCACTGCACAGCCTGGCAGACCTGCTCTCCCTTGTCCCTTTGCTGGGGCTCCAGCCTGGGAGTACGGCACCAGTCAAAGTCAGAGCGAAGCTGGATCCTTACTCTTCTTCTCATGCTTGTGGTGCAGTGTCTCTGCCTTCATACTGTAGTCCAGTTTCATCAGGACAGGCTCCAAACGCGTGTACATCCTCTGGATCAGCTCGTGGTAGACCACCAGAGGCCAGAGCAGAATGCTGAGCACTGCGAACATGGGATGCAGGGAGTGTGAGAGACAGGACAAGCACAGCCCCGCCCTTTACGGGGCACCAGCAAAAAACTGTGCATCAAGGGAAGTGCAGTTGAATGGCATTTGCTTTCCCACCCAAGTCTGCCTAAAATCCTCACCCATGGCTATTCTTACTCATCCCAAAGCTGCTTGATTAACCAAGTTTTCCTAACAGATCTGTTAGGATATGGATTTGTGTTAAGATGAAGCATAAGCCCTCCTCTTCAGCCACTGCATCCCAGCCCCAACATGCAACAGAGTCCCAGAAATGAGGTTATTAAAACTAAAAATCACCAAAACTTTTATAAGGGTAGCAGCACAGAGCTCCTACGTAGATGCACTAGCAGCAGACCACCTGAACAGTCTTCAGAGTTAGCAGGGACTCAACGGTGCAGTGAAAAAGGTCTTCATTTGCTAAACATGCAGCTTCTTTAACAACTCTCTTGACGTGGATTTGCCCACTCCAGGAACCGAGACACTGCAGGTTTCTGCCTCTCTGGGACCTCAGCAGCACAGCCCCAGCCGTGGGTAGCAGGGGAAAGCAATGCTGCAGCGACGGCTCCCTCTCCTGACTTTGCAGTCGCACTGCATGCACACCCTTGCAGCAAGAGGCTTCGCGGGGCACATCGCCTGCACTGATTAACAATCTAGCATAGATCCCCTCAAGAAAACCACTAATATGCTTGTACAGCGTACCGACAGCACAGTTCGGTCATGTTTCAGCTTAAGTCAGAGAGCTGCTTATACTCACAAATGATGTAGGAGATCATTATGCCTGGAACATAGTGTCCAACTACAGCCAGAATCAGGCAGCCTGAACAGACACTCATGCAGAACTGAAGGAAGAGAGAGGAACAAACAGAAGTGACAAAAGGCAGAGATACATCTATGCAACCAGCGCAGGAAACGCAGTTAGAGCGAACTGAGGGATGCTCCTAACACAGGCTGTACGCCAGCTTTGCACTGAGTCCGTTCAGACGCTGACAATCACAACTCAGACAGCTCGGTTGGGTTAAGCTGTAAGCGTTAGAAGTTCAAGCACAGGAAGACCAAGCTAACCCAAGACCCCAATAAAATGAATCAAAACTTTATTGGGCAGTTCTTTATGAAGTAAATGGTGTTCCCTGAGGCTAGGATGGGATATTGCAAATCATCATTGTGGAGTACATCTGCCCTGCAGAGCTCAGCACTTTAAGAGCAGCCTGTGCTGTCCCGGCAGAGACAGGAAGCTGTCAGAGAGTCACCAGACGCTGTGCCACTGCTGCGCAATAAAGCAGCCGGCAGAAGCATCAGCAGAACCCAAGCTCCCACCGGACCAGGACCTTCCTCTTCTGGAAAAAGCGGAAGTACAACGGTGCAGCCCTCAGGGCTTGTCTTGCATTTCTCCTGGGGAGGGGGAGAAGTGAGAATATACACCCTGCAAGCCAGGGCATGGTTCAGACATTGACTAAATCCAGCAATGAAGAGTTTCATTCATAATGGAAAGGGTCTACAAAAGCTAGGGCCCTCTGAGGGCTTTGCTTCCAAAGAATTCACACTTTATGAGCATCTCGGTCCCGGTCACCTACTCCCTGTAGTCAGGACTGTTTTTAACAGAAGAGGAATAATCAGCAGTGACAGAGACCCACTCCTTCCAGCACACTGGACCCCAGCAAGCCTAATACAATCCTACTGGCTAGCCTGGTCTGCTTTTTGTGATGCTGAGGCAACTCCCGTCTGCAAGCCCTTTCCAAACAACACACGTCACAGCCATCAGAACATGGTTTATGACAAGTTTCCACGCACTCAGAAACACCGCTGCATTTGGACTCGGCTAGCTACAATCTTGGCTAGCAAAACAGGTGGGACCAGCTTAAAGGGTTGAATGGAGCCTGTGAAAGGGGCAGAGACTGCAGGCTCCCCTTTTTTCTCCCCACTCCCCATCTAAGAGCTTCCTTTGCGTGCTAAGAAATAAAACTAAGTATAGCTAGCCATTCACAGAAGGGGTTAAGTTCAGCTCCAGTTAACAAATACTGGAAGCAAATTACTCATTATTTAAGCTTCGCATGGCACAAAGTCTGAAAGCAACGAACAGCAAATGTTAAACAGGGATAGCAAATGTAAAAATATTGCTTGGATATTCTTCCATCTCCTAGGCCACTAGTAAAGGAAAGAAAAGCCCCTGCACAGATGAGTAGGTATCTCCAGCTTACCTTGGCAGGATTTTGCCTCTTGTACTGTAGCAGTTCCTGCAGGTACAGCCTGAAGGTGACCCAGCTCTCTGCCAGACAGTGGCACAGCTCAGGGACACTGAGCAGGTGAGGTTGTGCCCCTGAAGTCACCCCCTCACTAGAGACAGACAAGAGCAAGAAGACAATCTTTGAACACGGTCTGTTTTGTTGGGGAGGGGGGGGGAACAGCTGCACTGGGAAGCAGAGATCCCTACTAAAGGCTTGACAACACTGACTGCATCTTCAACTGAATTATGGAAGATGCTTGATTTTGAGGTACTTTTTTCCTTTAATCAGGAGGAGAGCCAACAGACACCTGAGCCAAGCAGCAGCAGCAGCCACCATGCCACAGCATCCCCATGCCACAGGCCCAAGATGCAAAGCAGTTTATTCAAAGCCACGCAGACAGAATCGGTGGAGGTGCAACTAGTTACGTGGCCTCCTCTGGCACCAAGTCTGAGGCAGCCAGAGTGTGGTGCTCAGAGCTATAACCATGGCCAAGCACAGGATGCAAGCTACACCACCACAGACAGCGCGTATGGCCTGCAAAAGTCAGTCTTGGGGATTTCCTTCTCTCTGGAGGATTCTTAAAGTAGTCCGAGATGGATCCAGGGAAGAAACTCAACAGTTCCTAGCACCAGAAGCACTTGAGCTTTATTGCTACTGAAAGAACATTAGCTTTCCCCAGAGTCTCAAACTGTGGCTCCTGAGCTGACAAGTAGTAGGAGAAACCACTACCAACGTTTCACAGCAGGAGCCATGCAGTCTATCGACAACAGCAAAAAGTGCAGGTGAGATCACCACACTAAATTAAGGCTTGCCCACTCTCCCCTCTCACCAAGCAACACATCAGTGAGCTTACCTTTCTCCTCCCGGCTCCTCCGATGGCTGTGCTGTAGAGAGAACACAGCAGATTAGTCGGCCAAGTGAAAAATACGACCCGACATTTTTACCACTCGAACAGAGCAGAGCTGGAGATGTATCACCCTTAGCTAGGGAGGCACCCTGGGGACCTTCTTCATGCTCTCATGCAAGCAGGAACCACTGGCTTGGAGTTTGAGCTGTGCAGGCTTCAGTGAAGCGTGCCTGGAGACTCGGAGCAGCCAGAGCACTGGTCTCGGGGTGCCCCAGCACATCTTGCAACCTGTGTTGACAAACACGTGCCATGACACTCGTACCCAAGGGGCACCCTGCTGCTAGCACATGGGCTCTGCACTGCAAGGATGGTACAGCTTGCTCCAGCATCCCACGTGTCCGGGCAGTGCCATCCCCAGTGCAGCTGCCTAGCCCTTATCATTCAGAGGGCTGCCAGCACAGCCCCAGAGCTGGGCAAAGTTTCAGCTCCCACCTCAGAGCCCAGCATGGCACTAGGAGGTCCAAGCGGCATTTCCCGCTGACCAGCCCAGGCCACAGTCCCTGGCAGGATGCTGCGTACAAATGCCAGAGATCTCCTGCTGCCTCTATCCTCTCCCATGGAATTCATTGACAAATAGCAGTCTTGTGTATAATTATCTAATTTTAGGGCTCTTTTATGTCCCATGACAATCCTTTGTGCCAGATACAGACACAACTACACTCCTAAGGTCTGGCAGTCTGGATAAGAGCAGGGGTAAGCTTCTCCCATTCCTCTTTTCACCCAACCCAGTGATGATCAAACAGTGACTTACTCCATGCAGTACTGAAGGGAGGAGCGGTGGTTCAACAGCAGAGGCCACAGATGATCATGCTCTGCCTTTAGATACATTGCGGAAAAAGCCCCAAATAATTCTATGGCAACTGGAACCCATGAGCCTGGCTCCCCATGAATTCAGGTCTGTCCTGGTTCTGGCTGGGACAGAGTTAATTTTCTCCCCAGTAGCTGCTGTGTTTTGGATTTAGTACGAAAAGAATGTTGGTAATACACTGATGTTTTTAGTTGTTGCTACGAAATCAAAGACATTTTTTTCAGTTTCCCATGTTTGGCTAATGAGCAGGTGCACAAGAGCTGGGAGGGAGCACAGCCAGGCAGCTAGTCCAAGCTGGACAAAGGAAATACTCCATGCCACAGACGCCATGCGCAGTATATAAATGGGGGGTGGGGAGGGGGGCAAGGATCCGTGAGTGCCGCGATCGCTGCCTGGGGACAGGCTGTGCAATCAGTCATCAGGCAGTGCAAAAATCATAGTGTGTATCGCTTGCTTTGCATATTCTTTATTATTATTATTATTATTCCTGCATTTGTTGTCTTATTAAGCTGTCTTTATCACAACCTGTGAGTTTTACTTTTTGTTCATCCTCCTGCCCGTCCTACTGGGGCTGGAAGAGTGAGCAAGCAGCTGCGTGATCCCAGTTGCTGGCAAGTGGCTAGCTGGTGCTTCGCTGCCCGGTTAAACCACGACAGTGTCCTGGCTAGCCCACTCGTGTCTGGGGACGCACAGGGCTCAACCTGCAGCAACACGGTCTTTAAAAACCTCCTGTGTTTAACATGCCCTGATCATGCTGCAAAGGCCCCTTGACGTCCACCCTCCTTTAACTGTCAGCCTAATGTCCTAAAGGTAGTAGGGACAGATACATCTTTGACACTGTCTGGCCGACAGCAAACTTGGTTCAGGTTGCCCAAGACGTTCTAAAAATCAGTCGGACCCTATCCCCCACACTGTACGTCACCACGTAAACAGGACTAAAATAAAGGTAGGGAGTTTATGTTCAAAGTCCAGGCTACTTGCTGGAAACAGGCTTAAAAACACGAGAAAAACCATGACATTTGCTCGTGAAACATGAGCAAAAAGGGGTCTGAATCCTCCCCAGAGTCATCAGCCAGATGCAAAGCCCAAGAGCGGCAATGACTCCCCCAGGGAAGCGCACAGAAGAGGTGAAAATCCGTCACTGCCAACACCCAGTGAGGCTTGAGACTCCAGCTCAAGCCACTGAAGAGAGCGAGCGGGCTGGGGCAGCTGGTAAGCACCGCTCACAAAGGGAGCTCGGGGTGCGAAGTGAATATTGTGGATGCAGCTCCACCCCCACGGGGCAGTTGTTTCTCTCGCACGACCGCTGTTGCTGTATTTTGTTATTGTGCTCAGGAATCTAAAGCTGCTTAATCGCAGCACACAGAAATCCAGCTGTATCTGAAAGCCTCATCTATTACCTGCACTAAACCACCAAATAAACTACATTTGGCACTGCCCTGTCTGCGATGGCTGGCTATACTGGTTGTACCAGCTATGAGACGAGGCGCTGGGACGCTCGCCCGGACCGACGTGCCAGCAGCACAGCAAGCAGGACCCCCACTCCCCGCCGACTGGCTGCAGTAATCCAAGACAGCCAAAATATGCCAGCAGAGGGAGTGAAACAATTCTCCTCGATTGCTTCTGAAGGTTTCAGAGACACTTTGGGGAGAGGCAGAACATTTCAGCAGGCTGCAGAGTGTTCACGTGATTTCAACTATCTGGCAAAACACAAGCTGTCTTCAAAATCAACAGTATCTTGCTTCCTGTAGTAGTCTGCCTGCTGTCCACCCCAAAGCACTGGAGTCTTACACCAGTTGGAGGAACAGCCCAACCACAAAACACCTAGAGCATTTCTGACAGGACATGTTCACTTAGGTAAGGCTTAACCCCAACCCATGCTGCAATACTGTCCAGCACTGGTACAACCAAGCCAGCAAGCAGGACATCTGCAGCTGGCCTCAGATCATCAATAACCAGCTGAAATCTTGCTGTCGGCATTTCGCACCAGACTGTGGGTTAATACAAACCACTTGACACACACCAGACTCATGTGGGAGACCAGTCAGCCACGCAAGAGTTTAGGTTACGTCTTGGTACTGACAAATTATTGATGATGGATTCCTTGGCTCTTACAGGTTTTCAGCGCTTCCCCAAGAGGCATTTGTCATCTGTGTGTAAACTTCAGCTAGAAAGCAGGGGCCCTTTTTAAGGAGTACCAGCATCCAACTGCAATGCAGGCTTTGCGAAAGCTCCTCCACGTCACACTCTCCTACACTGACCAAAAAACAGCTGGCAAACAATGGTATAGAAAACATCCCTACTTGATACCCATCTCAGGAGAAAATGGAGGTGCTTCCCAAGTCCTTAAACAATATTTACGTGGAACCCCACACAGAGGTTACATATGGAGAAAATACCCTGCATGGGAGTTGAAAATAAGCAGTCCCTTCCGACACGACCTAAAAAGGTTGTTCATCTCGCTGCTGTTAGCGCGTCCCCAATCACAGTGTGTGAGTAACTGCAAAATATACGCTGAGGTTTTAGCGTTCCTTCAGAAGTGATGTTATAAGCAGTCACCCGAGACATACAGAACTGCCACAAGCTGAGGTTTGTGTATATACATGCCGACTCTTGAAGGTGTGGTACTGACCTACTTCCAAAATCTCGAGGAAAGGCTTACAGGAAGCACTGAGGAGGAAAGCCACAAAGCTGCAGCTCTGCTTCAGCGGGAAGCGAGAGCCACACAAGAACCCCTAAGTATTCAGCAGTGCCAATTCAACAGGAGGCCCCTCAGGAATGCAGAGTACTGCTCCTTCCTTGCGGAGGCTGAGGAAACGCGGTCCAGTGGACCATGTCGAAATCAGGGCTGTGACCTAGCCAGGCACATCAGAAAGGTGTCCCTGTTCTTTGCTGTCAGCAGTGGAAAAGCAGCAAGGAGTGAAATATGGGGAAGAACACCACGGAGGAGCGGCTCAGTCAGATGTGTGCTGACTTCCTGCAGAGCTGATGACACAGGATTAGCATAACACCTGGTGTGTTGTTTTGTTTTGGTTTTTTTTTTCTTATTCCTCACCGCTCCGCATCATATAAATTGGTTTCAGTATGGATTTCCTATTTCTTCTCTGATAACACAGCTTTTGCAAGCCTGGTACCTGCTGGAGCAATTCTACCCCCACCTGCGTCAATGACACCATTCTGTATTGGACACCAGGCTTTTGCATTTCTGGACACGTTTCAAGTGAGATGTTTTGGGTTGGCTTTAAACTATTCCCTTAAAAAACCAATGCAAATAAGCAGGAAATTAAATTGGCCAGTCCAGTTTGGCTGCCTAGTTACCTGAACCACACAAAGTAAACAGTTTCAAGACTACAGCTGAAACATATCTAATCTTATCAGGACTTCTGTGAAAGCACCCTTTAAGTCAGTACCCTTTTAGGTCAAATAAAGGGCACCTTACAAACACACATATAGAGGGGCTTTCATTCAGAAACCCTCCCTAGAGTAGGGGAGCAGGGATGGAGGGCCCCAAGCTGCCTTTCAACAGCAGCAGTAGATGCAGCAGGCAGGTCTGGGTCCAGCCCTTTGATAAACTCCAGTGAAGGAGGCACTCAAAGCAGACAGCAGCCAATCCACACCTATCGTCGTTATGAGGCATTCCTCTTCTCGCTTTTGTGTCTAATGTTGGCAAAGACCCTTCAAGAAATGGGCAAGATAAGCCAAGTGATCAGACTCCCCGATTAGCTGGAACCCAGACGCTGTTCAGTACAGGTACAATACACTAACTGTCCCCGCTGTCAGACCTCATCATCTACTCTGCTACCTGCCGCAAGGAGAAGTGGCTCTCATCTGCTCTGCCTCTGTCAGGGCACAGGCCCATACCACACGTAACCAAAACCAATATACTTCAACCCCCCCATTTCCTTCCCCCAGCTCAGCTGGCCATATATGCTCAGTTCTGGAATGATCTTTTTGCCATGACATTTGCAGGAGAGAAGGCACACAGCAGAAACACTGCATTCTCCCTGTCACCAGCTTCCCTGACAAGCTAGCTGGGCCCCCTTAGTCACTCTCAAAATAAGCTGCTATGAGGATACATCCTAATACTCTGACACAAACAGGCAAGAGCAGCACCAGTATCAAAGTCCGCAGTTACAGTAGGAACAGAGCTTATATGACCTACGAGAGAGCCAGAAAAGGACCGGCTGTAGCCACAGGCCCAACAGCTGGTAACGCTAGAACTCTGTCACTGGCTACAGTGCTACTCATCACATACCTGAGAAATCAAACAGGAACCTGGGCTTCCACCTCTCCAGCAAGAGGATGCCAAGAAGGGACATGCTGAGGAGAAACAGGGGTCTCAGGGAGGTGGAGGAAAACAACCTAGAAATCAAACGAGAAACTGTTAGGCAGGCAAAAGGCAGCAAGTTACTGCTCTTAATGAGCAAACAGATACGGCTCAGCATACGGCAGAGCAGAAACTTCCGACTGCTACCAGCCACAGCAGTAAGCACCGTACTCCGCAGACACCCACCACACACAGCACATTCTCACAAGGCGCCTTTGCCCACCACCAGACAGCTGACTACCTGCCACCTCTCAGCGCTCCGCTCCCCTGCCCCCGAGCTCCTCCTTCGGCTGTTAAACAAGGCTAATGGTCCCTCGTACAAGTCCCTCCGAATCCTCAAGGTGGAGGCTCTAGATAACGTAAATACAGATTGCTCTAGCAGAAGACTGGCTGAGAATTGGCCTGTTTGCTGAAAACTCACGTCCTGTTTGTCATCACAAGGTCCAGCACTACCTGCAGGCAGCACCAAAACACATTCTTCACCTGCTTCTAGATGCCCATTTTTCTATCACGAACCTCTCCCCGTTTCATCAGAGCCTCGCACTTACATGGTTCAGTTGCTCACTTGACTCTATCGTAAACCCTTTCATGTCCCTCAACAACACATTGGCTTGAGCCAAGCACCAGCTCAAACAACACTACTCACACACAGACGTGCACTCCCACCATCAACGAGTTTATCTCCCCACTCCACACGTTCAACAGCAAAGGTCCCGGGGCAGCGCCTGTGCCAGCAGTGGCTGTGTGCATTCCTCCTTTCCTCCAAACAAGAGCATCAGCCCTTCCCTCCAGCTCAGAGGAGCTCTTTTAAGTCACTCCAGAAACAACTGCCAGGAAAACACATTCACCCTGTCTCCTTTAATGAAAACTCCTTTCCAGAAAGGAAGAGCCGCTCCGCTATTTTACCTTGCTCTCTTCAGCAGGTATTTGCCAATAACTAATCTCAAATGCACCAAACTGATCGAAGTTGGAGAGCATCTTGCCCTGCAGTGCAGGGAAGGGCTGCGCTCCCCTCCAAGCCACAGTCAGGGGCAGAGGGCTTGGAAGAGAGATCTGTCTCACTGGGCAGCACAGAATGAAAGCCACACGCTTTCCAAGGGCTTACAGGACCTGTAACGACCTAAACGTTTTTATCCGTTCTCACGGGACAACAATTCTGTAGCTCAACATGACAGCTCTGCAAGGATTTCCACCTCGTTTATGGATTGCAGTTGAAGAATGCTGGCTGAATCCTCCATGGAACCGTAAATAATTCCTCCCCCTCCGTGATAATCAAATCTCTCTCTGCCATATCATATTGTGGGCACCCTTTGTTCCTCCTGACCTTTTTATGGACAGTCCCTTAGCCATCATTGTCTACTACCCCTGCCATCTCACGACAGGCCTCTCCCCCTCCCACTAACTTTAAAGCTCTGCATTCAGACCTTTCGAGCTGGCAGAGCAGTCTGAAACCATTTAAGTACTGGCTACCACGTACGCCTCTGACAATCATATGGATGAGGGAGCAGAAGGTAAGCGGCCTCCTCAGAGCGACTTCAAAGGCTGCTTGGTCACATACTTTCCCCTTCTCTGACTTGAGAGTCTGTCCCTTCCTATTTCATCTGCCACCGAGGTTCAGCTCTTTCCCCAGACAGTTTTGACCTTTTCTGCTGACAAAGCTGCTGGCCGAGAGTGCTTTTGCCAGCAAAACTGACTCACTGTTTATACGAACAAACAGGATGTTTTTCATTCCCATCCACAGCTGGGCTCTGCCACTCACGGTCCCGGCTCCTCGCGCTGCCCGAGAGGCAGAGGAGGAGGGAAGGGAAGGCTGGGCACGGGGGACATGCTCGCGCCCAAACCGAGCGGCCTCGGCCTCCGTGTGAGACATCGGCCCCCGCTAGCAGAAAATTGAACAGCAGAAGGGCTTCAGTAAACCGCCGCAGAAGGCCACGGGGCCGGCTGACC